AGTAGCAGTAGAAAGGCTGCAGAAAGAGTCAGGAGCCCAGAGGAGGGGGCAAAGGAGGTGAGGGGGTGGGGGCAGAAAGTGGAAAAGAAAGCAGACAACAGAATATTGCTAGAGAGCAGGAAAGAAGGTGAAAGGAGGCAATTAGAGAAGAATTCGAACCCAGGACCTTTTGATGAGAGGCCAACACCTTAATCGCTAGGCCACGAGAGCCCCCACAAATGTTTGAATGATAAGGCACCATCATATAATTTATCAAATCTGTTAAGACTGTTCATTCTAACTCGCAGTTTAAGGTCATCAGCTGACAAAAAGGAATTTATTTTACAATCCATGAAACTTTAAACAATGGGTGAAAGGGCTTTTGAATACGAAGGCCCCAAGATTTGGAAAGCTTTACCAAGTACTTTAAGAGAGATTAAATTTTTTGATTCATTCAAATGTCAGGTGAAGTCGTTTCTGTTTTTAGATTAATAAGATGAATATTAGGAGTAATTTTCTTTAGTCAGAACACAATGTTTTATGTCACTGTTGTACTTTGTACTGTATTGTAAAGCGCTCAGAGCCTTTGTACTTTAATCTGGGTTGAGCGCTATATAAATGTTATGTATTATTATTATTATTATTATTATTATTATTATTATTATTATTATTATTATTCTTATTATTATTATTATTATTACATGAGTTGTGGTGGGAGATCATGATTAATTTGTCCTACGTGTGAAATTGCCGAGTTGTAATCACGAGTGTCAACAAGTTACTACTAACTGGCAATTTCACAAGCAGGAAGAATCATGGTCTACCATCTTAGCGAGTGTAAAAATTATTTTTCTTATGTCATACTGATTCATGTAATAGCTGACGAAAAAGGTCTGTACTAACTAGGTCAAAAGTAACTAATCAAGTAACATCATTCAAGAGTCTCACATGAAAACAAGATATTCAAGCCAATCAGAGTTAGAGTGAGAATTGTAAGAAAAAAGAAAGTTGGATTTTTTCTTCTAATTTTAGCAACACTAATAACATAGGACTATAATATGCTATCTGAATGTCTCCCTATGTGAAATAACCCTTCCCCCCC